GTTTTCCTTTGCTAAAGTAAGGAAACTTTGCTTCCTTTGCTCCTGTAAACAAACGTTGGTTTTCACGAGACGCACCGGCGCATGCGCAACGCTGACCTCATACGTCATCAGCCCGGAGCTGCTTCCGTGTAGGACTGTTGGCGCAAGCTACATTAAAGTGATTATTAAGTTTTGAATATGGATATTTTTCTTACAAAAACACATCGATTCGCTACAGGAGGCCTTTGTTCACCCCCCGGAGCCGTGTGAGACACTTTTTATGGATGGGCGCTTTTTATTTCACTTCTTTTGGACTGATGCACTGCAACACCCGCTGACTGGCCTTAAACAGCTGAAAGATCAAAGACAATTTTTTTATACAACTCCGACTGGATTCGTCTGAAAGAAGAAAGTCATATACACCTAGGATGCATTGAGGGTGAGTAATGTATGGGCTAATTTTCATTTTTGGGTGAACTAACCCTTTAAGTGAGTGACTGAGGTTTCAAACAAGGATGATGGAAGCTAGAGTTAAACCACATATAAGGACAGGTTTTTTTGCTTTACGTGAGAAACAATGATTAAAAACAGACAAGATTTCTTGCTAATGTCTCGGACACAAAAAGGGGTGAATGTGAACTTCCCCAACCACAAAGACACACACCACCTGAATGATGAGGTTAATCTGACATTCTAAATGGTACGGTGTCATTTCAGTTTAGTGACAAAGTGCCTATTAAATGAATTTCAGAACGAGTTTCACTACCTTTCAAATGCTTGGGATCAGTAAGACTTTTCTTTTTTGAAAGAAGTCTCTTATACTCACACCAAGGCTACATTTATTTGATCAAAAATAAAGTAAAAACAGCAATATCGTAAGAACAATATTACAATTTGAAAACTTTTCTATTTGAATATATTTTAAAATTAAATGTATTCTTGTGATGCAAAGCTGAATTTTCAGCATCATTCCTCCAGTCTTCAGTGTCACATGATCCTTCAGAAATCATTCTAATATGCTGATTTGCTGCTGAAGAAATATTTCTTATCAATGTTGAAAAACAGTTGTCTTGCCTAATTGTTGTGGACCGTGATACTTTTTTTTTTTTTTTCAGGACTCTTTGATTAATAAAGTTCAAAAGAACAGCATTCATTTAAAATAAAAATGTTTTTTATTATTTATAAATGTCTTCATTGTCATTTTTGATCAATTTAATGGAAACTTGCTGAATAAAAACATTAATTTCTTTAAAAACCATAAAAATAAAAATCTCACCAACCCCAAACTTTTGAACAGTACAAACAAATGGCCACTCGTAACACGGGAATAGTCAAACAGAAATAAATAGTTGTGACTGACATGGAAATGACCTCAGTCTTGATTCACTGTTTACACTCACCACAGAGCCGGAGCCCAACTGAGGGGGAAAGACAGGAAGTACAATTACCAACTAAATAACTTCTACTTGGAGAAGCACAATAGCAAATATTGATAGTCAATGCAACCAAACATATTAGACTACTCTGAAATACAAAAACATCCCTGCTCACCTTGGTGTCAGTTTTGGTGGCAGATTGTTTGATGAAGGATTTCATGGAGCTGCGGCCCAGAGACCCAGGCGTCATCATCAGCATCTGGTTCTTCTGCACCGTGTGCAAGAATGATCGCATGTGTGGAGCAGTACTCTACAGGGACACAACAAATGGACACATAATGGATTGTCTGGTCCGATCCAAGACTTGCTAATCAAATCTTCAAGAAATCATTCAAAATCCTTTTTACAGAATGCAAACAACCACGATGTGGACTTCTGCGGAAAGCTTCTCCTCTCAACAAGACTCAAAAGACTGTTGTGGCTTCATAATGGATTAGTTTTGGTGGATGGACAGTATTATGGTGGTCAGAGATGCTCATACCGTGAGGCACTTCTTCGGAGGAGATTGTTTTTTCTTGGGTGTGTTGCTTTCCTGAGCGGCGTGACGCTTTGAGCCTGAACGCGTAGGCCTGATGGAAAAGCACAAAGACTATTAGAAAACATACGGCATAAATCCACCAACTATAACGAGGAAAACAAATTAGCAGAGTGCTCACCGGCCATCTCCTTTGGATTTTGCTCCATCTGTTACAGGAAAATAAATAGATAAATATTGAAACCTTACTTGTCAACCCAATTACATACCCCGTTTTTAATATCAGCAGATCTGTTAGACATGTACCTGTTTCTGAAGTACGGGCCATGGATCGTGTGAAGCGACAGTTCTCAGTGGTGCTGGATTCAGCAATCTCTTCTGGAAGTTTGTCTTTTACCTCAGGTTCCATTTCTTCAGTCTTCTCGGGTTCAGGTTCCTATGAAATCACCCAGCCATCAGTTATTTACAAATTGCAATGTGCAATAAAATAGTTTCTAACATCATACCAACTGTGTTTGCTTATGGCCCGTTCACACTAAGAACTATAAATATAGAGTACTGTGCAAGAGTTTTAGGCCATTACTATTTTCACCAAAAAAAAAAGAAAAAAAAGTGGTTTTAAGCCAGTTATTTCCAACTTTTGCTGTAGTGTGTCAGTAGGAAATATCAGTTTACATTTCGAAACATTCATTTTGCCATTAATTGTAAAAATCCAGTGAGATTTTTTTGTATACACAAGCACTCTGAAATCAGCCAGTGCTCCACACAGAGATCTGATCTCATCATCATCCAATCCATCGGATTGCTGTCAATGTTTGTATTGTTCAAATCAACTTGTTTGAAAGTGATCAATTATATTGTTCCTCCGTAACATCATCGTAATAGCTCTGGTGCGATTTTCTTAAATTCAGAAAAATTTATAAAACTTTATCCTTATAGTTATTGTCCTTGCTGTGAATGGGCCTTAAATCTGGCTCTTGTGACTTTTATTAGCAAAGGTAAATAAAAACCACAGCAGAACGTTCTTCTCACCTCAGTTTGGACGATTTCTGGTTCAGGTTTGGTTTCAGTAGCTGGTTCAGTGACCATTTGCGGTGCATCAACCCTAAAACAGAACAGTGAGACCATGTTTAAAAGATCTCGACTGATAACTGAAAGGTTATGGGTTTGAATCCCAGAAGAAACAATTCAACAACTGAAATAGAAAGTAAAAGCACTCACTGTTCTTTGTTCTCCATTTCCTCAGTTTCAACATCCATACAGATGTCTTCTGGAAAGAGCAATGAAGATATAGATGACAAAGCTAACAAAGAAACTTAATCACTTTAAACAGCACAAATAATAAAGCGATAAATCCTATCAAGGCATTCAAACCGACCTCAAACCATTATATTACAATTGGAGTTGGCGACTCGAAACAATGAGTTTAGTTTTGTAGCGGTGACTGTAAATGTAAAAGTCTCACCGCTGACAGAGCTGCTGCAGATAGAGTTTCCCAGTCTGGCTTTCTTCTTCAGAAAAGAGCGCCGGGATGCCCTGCGAACAGCTTCCTGGGTCATGCTATGCCTGAGGCCCACCAGAGAACGGCGTACCACCAGCGAGCGCCGAGCTGACGTCCGAGATGAGCCCTGAGGTGTCGTCTGCAACCCAAATGCAGTGATGGGGATTTTATTAGCGGATCGGCCAGGAGACACACCAGCGTTCAGCAGCGAATCTGCACTCAGACGCTCAGAGGAGGAAATCTTCACCATGGCTTCAGACACCAGGATCTGATCCTGATTGGAGCCTGAATCCTGCACCTCAATGGCTTCATTCACATCTGGAATGCTCTCTGCCACTTTTTCCACCTCCTTAGCTTTGGCGCCACCTTTATTACGGGTGCTGCGCTTGACAGATTCGGTTTCAGCCGGGGCAGTGGTTTTGTTGCGACGCGTGCGGCGAGAAGGTTCCTCCATCAGGCTCTCAGAGCTGTCGGTCGGCACGTGTGGTGTAACGAGTTCAGAGAGGGTGGTCAGGGTCATCTGGACCGAGGAGCGACGCAGGTTGCTGCGTTTCCCCTTGGAGAAACTACAGAGAGACAATGACATCATATACTACATTGTATGAGGGGTAAAA